AATCCCACCTCTGACTGGCCCCGCCAACCCCATCTATTCCCTGCCTCCCATCAACTCCCAGCTGATCGGCTGGGTCTCCTTTGGTTGCCCTGCACAGGAGAACGGAGCTGGAAAGCAGGTTAGCGCGGTGGGGAGGGAATGAGGATTTTGCAGTATCCTTCCCCTGCCACGCCCACCAAGCCACGCCCGCAGAACCGGTAGTAAAAAAAGTTTTGAATCCCACCACTGATTGAGACTCTGTAAAGAGCGCAGAGAAGGGCAAAAAATATGATTATTAGAGGCCTGGAGGCTAAAACATACGAGGAACACGGTTGCAGGAATTGAGTATGTCTACTTTAGTTTAATTTCCTTTATTGTCATTGCACCTTGAACAATTAAACACCATCTTCAGTGTACATAATGGCTATGAAAATAAACACAAACACATGTCCTTCACATTCTATACAATTGGATTGAAAACCCTCAATATTGCATTCATATTGCACTATTATACAGTAGAATTCAACAGAGTTCCTGCCCTGGGATAGAAGCTATTTTTTTTTTCAGCCTATTTGTCCTTGTTTTTATTATCCTGTACCGTCTGCCCGATGGTAATAGTTAAAAAAAAAGGGTGCCTAGGATGAGATGGATCTTTAAGGATGTTTTGAATTTTCTTAAGGCAGCGGGAGCTATACTCTAATGAAAAGAAGGACTAAGGGAGATTTGAAGGCGGTGTTTCAATATTTAAGGGGCTCCTACCAAGATGAGGGAAAGAATCAAACTATTTTTCCAAAGCACCAGAAGGCAAGACAAGAAACAATGGTTGGAAACTAACCAACATAAGGAGGAATGTTCTAACAGTGAGAGCAAATAGCCAATGGAATAGCTTGTCTTCAGAAGTTGTGCGTCTTCCATCACAGGAGGCAACCATTTGTTTCCAATGGTATAGCGTCTTCTACTCGAGAAGACGACTTTGAGGTCCCTTCCAACTGTGTTATTCTATGTCCTAATGTCATGTAGATTATTAATACAGGAGGTGAGATGAAACCAGTTGAATGTAGTTGAACATTGCATCTCTCATCCAGTTCTGAACAAGTCAACCTCCAAGATCACCATGATCCCAGTCTATATCGTTGCCAGAAGTCTGATAGACATGAATCTACATCAGCCATACAGGTAGTCCTTGACTTAGGACCACAGTTGAATCTAAAATTTCCATCGCTTAGACAAGACAGTTGCTAAGTGAATTTTGCCCTGTTTTACAACCTTCCTTGCCAGAGTTGTTAAGTGAATCACTGCAGATATTAGTACGGTGCGTCCCTTACTATTCCCTGCTGAGCTACTCAGCCAGGCCCTGTCTTGGTTATCTTCCAAGCTCAAACCAAGTAGGCTAGATGTTGCTGCCATGAACTTAAATCTTCTTTTGGCATGGATTCTTCAAAGTTGCACAGGAAACAGCCTTTAAAAAAAAAAAAAAATCTGTTTTGGTGCCCACAATTTTCTTCACTTCGTATCTGTAGCTTCCAAATATCCTTTAACGTTCTGTTTTGGTATTTTTTTTTGCTCCCAGTATCTTATGGTCACCTTTATTCCTAGCTCTTTTACCCCACTTTTTAATTTAATAGGTCTGGTTCCTTAGCCAATCAACCTTCTAATTCACCCAACAACAGTAGGCATAAGCGCATCATTGTGCCTACCGCCCCTGTCCTATTGTCCTCAATTATCAGTAACAATTTCATGTATTTATGTTTATTCTTATTTCTATTATATTGTAAATGTTTGACAAATAAAATAAATAAAATAAGTGCTGAGAAATTCTCTGATCCTCTTTTTCTTCCGTTTTCAATCTTCTTCCCTATTATTGGTTTCCTTCTTTGGGTATTTCATTTTCTTTGGCTCAGCACTGTTCTTATTGTCCTTTTCTATTTTATCCCCTACGCTGTTGTTCTTTCCGGCTGATCATTAACCTGAGCTGTCAGTCCCAGCCACAAATCTTGCTTTCTTTCCATTTCTCTGGAAGCACAACCTGCATTGCATTCATTTTCTGGCCAGTTAAAATAGCTGCTGGATGATCCGTGCTAGGAACTTAAGATTAAAACCGGAAGAGGCGCCTCCTTAGTCTACTTCTGCTACGGGCCCAAGGCCAGATTCTTAGTTCTACCTGGAAAGTGAACTCAAAAGAAAACAAAATACAATCTCTACAATTCTCTAGCAGCTTTCCAGGGAAAGAACATTCCCCGTCACTGTCCCAAAGGTGTTTTTCCAGGAAGCAACTGGACTTTTTGTTTTTTTCTTTTGAAGATGTTTTGCTTCTCATCCAATAAGCTTCTTCAGCTCTGACTGGAAATGGAAGGCTTGATATTCAAGGAGTCATTTGCATCCTTTTAGAGGGTCATTGAGGCCACTTGGAAGTTTATCGGTTGAGGACACCTGAGTGATGCTCCTGGTTCTATAGCCTACAATTTTTTTTTCCTCTGGAAATTCCCACTCCGACACCATTCCAAGGGTATTGATCCCAAACTGTACGGCTAAAAGTTTGTACAGATTCTCCATCCTCCAAGCCTTGGTTGTTCCAAAGGTGCATTTTTTTTTCAGGAGACAGCTGGAGTTTCTGTTTTTTTTTCTTTTCTTTTCTTTTGAAGATGTTTCGCCTCTCATCCAAGAAGCTTCTTCAGCTCTGACTGGAGGGTGAGGAATGAAAGGATTGATATTCTTTGCTAATGACCTCTAATTATATTTGTCCCCCAATGACCAGAGCTGTCTGCAAGGAGTATAAATCCTTCCCTTCCTCACCATCCAGTCAGAGCCGAAGAAGCTTCTTGGATGAGAAGCGAAATGTCTTCAAAAACAAAAAGAAAGAAGAAGCAAGTCCGGTTACCTCCTGAAAAAAGGCACCTTGGGGACAATCGTGACCTGGATGACTGAGAATCTCCACAGACTTTTAGCTATACAATTTGGGATGAGCACCCTTGGAATGGTATGGGAGGAGGAATGGATTTCCAGAGGGAAATTTGCAGACTACAGCAACATTTGCACTACTCAGGTGACCTTGAGGACACAGGTGCTTCAATGACCCTTTCAAAGGATGCAAATGACCAGAGCTGTCTGCAAGGAATATCAATCCTTCCATTCCTCTCCATCCAGTCAGAGCTGAAGAAGCTTCTTGGATGAGAAGCAAAACATCTTCAAAGAACAACCAGAAAGTCCAGTTGCCTCCTGAAAAAGCACCTTTGGGACAACCACGACCTGGAGGACTGACTTTTAGCTATACAATTTGGGATGAACGCCCTTGGAACAGTGTGGGAGAAGGAATGGATTCCCAGAGGAAAAAATTGCAGACTACAGGAACCATTTGCACTACTCAGGTGACCCCGAGGGCACAGAGAAACCTCCAAGCGGCCTCAACAACCCTCTAAAAGGATGCAAATGACCAGCTGTCTGCGAGGAATATAAACCTTTCCATTCCCCCACCGTCCAGTCAGAGCTGAAGAAGCTTCTTGGAGGAGAAGCGAAACGTCTTCAAAAGAAAAAAATAAGAAATGTCCAGTTGCCACCTGAAAAAAAAAGAAAGAAAAAGGAAAGCAACCATGGGGACAACCAGGACCTGGAGGACTGGAGAACCGCTACAGGCTTTTTAGCCATTCCCCACCGTCTCTTTGGGGCCCGTCTCTCTGCCCTTTTGCAAAAAGGGAAGGTCGGGGGCAGCAGCCCTTGGAGCAAGGCAAAGGCTGCAGACACAAGCACCGGTTCCTCGCGATGCCTTTTCAGGCTGGGAGGTGGGGGGGCGCTTGAACTCGGCTCCAGAGGAGGCTGCACAGTTCGTGCCTCGGAGCAGGAACCACGTCCCGCCACGGCTGGAAGATTTCAAGGCGGGGGATTAAAGATCCGCGCACGCTCCTCTCCCTTTTGCAGCCCGGACCTCGCAACCGTTCCCACCCCCCGACCCACCCCGGCGGCCCTTTGGCTTCCAAGCGGCGCCCCCCACCCCACCCCACCCGGCTGCACCGCTTCCCCATCCCTACAGCCCGAGGAGGGGGGTGTGGGAAGCCTCTGCACCACGTCGGGAAGGCGTGCACACGTGTCCCGCTCCCAGGGGCGCGGGAAGAAGCCCGTGCAAGCAACGCTTCTCCCCGCTTTTTTGCAGAGGCAGACGCTCCCGGCTTCCAGTTTGCAAGGGCGGGGATGGGATGGGGGGTGGGGGGCAGGTTCGTCCCTTTATAGGAAAGGAGCGGTGGGGGGTGGGGTGGGAACACGTCTCCCCTCGCCCCTCCAACCACCCTCCCAGCGGGGGTTGGGAACCATGGGAGATGTCGTCCTCCCAGACCCAGCGGAGGAAAGGAAGCGGCGCTCCAACGCCTCGGAAAGGGGACTGTGATGCGGGGGGGGGGGGGAACGCTGCGCGCGCACCGCGAGGGCAAGGCGGCGCGCGAGGATGCGCGCGCATGCGAGGGCGAGACGGCGCGCGCGCGCGACAGAAAAAGAGAGAGAGAGAGAGAGAGAGAGAGAGTTAAAGTTGGGGAGAAGCGTCAGCGCGGCCTCGCCCTTGTCGCAGCGAAGCGGAAGAAGGGAGCGGGCGGAAGACGTCACCGCTACGGCGGGCGGCCTGTCTCTCTCTCTCTCTCTCTCTCTCTCTCTTTTTCCCTCTCTCTCCCCCCCCGTCCTGCAAGGGAAGGGAAGAGAAGAGGGCGGAGCTTTTTAAGTTCTGTTGAGGGGTGGGTGGGACCTAGGCTTCCGGCGGCGGGTGGTCCTTAAGCGCGCGAGCGCGCGGCAAGGCCCGCGCGCAAGCCAGGTGACTGCCGGAAATCGGGCGGCCGCGGCTTGAGGCGGGGCAGAGCGCCAGGGCCAGGCCGGGGCGGCGCGCGCTCTCCCCTCCTTTCCCCCCCCCTCCCGCTCCCTCTCCCCTCCCTCGGGGGCGCGCGTGCGTGCCTTGGCGTGGACGCGTGCGCCTGAGCGACTGAGGGGAGAGAGAGAGAGAGAGAGAGAGAGGGCGAGCGAGCGAGCGGGCGGGCGCGAGAGAGAGAGAGAGGCTGAGGAGGGAAGCGAGGCGGACGGGCGGACGGACGGGCGGAGGAGGAGGAGGAAGAGGAGGAGGAAGGCAGACCGGGCTGGGCCTGACGGCGGCAGAAGGAGCCGGAGGAGGACTCGAAGGAGGACTCGGGCGGAGAAGATGGCGGACGGGGACAGCGGAAGCGAGCGAGGCGGCAGCGGCAGCGGCAGCGGGGGAGGCGGCGGCGGCGGAGGAGGAGGTGGAGGAGGCGGAGGCGGAGGCGGCTTCCAGGGCCACCGTGGAGGCGGCGGCGGCGGGCCCGGCCCCGGCCCGGAGCAGGAGACGCAGGAGCTGGCCTCGAAGCGCCTGGACATCCAGAACAAGCGCTTCTACCTGGACGTCAAGCAGAACGCCAAGGGCCGCTTCCTGAAGATCGCCGAGGTGGGCGCGGGGGGCTCCAAGAGCCGCCTTACCCTCTCCATGGCCGTGGCCGCCGAGTTCCGAGACTACCTGGGCGACTTCATCGAGCACTACGCGCAGCTGGGACCCAGCAGCCCCGAGCAGCTGGCCCAGGCCTCCCCGGGCGGCGAGGACGGCGGCGGCGGGGTCGGCGGGCCCCGGCGGGCCCTCAAGAGCGAGTTCCTGGTGCGCGAGAACCGCAAATACTACCTGGACCTCAAGGAGAACCAGCGGGGCCGCTTCCTCCGCATCCGCCAGACCATCAACCGCGGGCCCGGCGGAGGAGGAGGAGGCGGCGGCGGCGGCGGGGCCGGCTTCCCCGGCGGGCCTCCGGGCCTCCAGAGCGGCCAGACCATCGCCCTGCCGGCCCAGGGCCTCATCGAGTTCCGCGACGCGCTGGCCAAGCTGATCGACGACTACGGCGCCGACGAGGACGAGCTGGGCGGCGGCGGCGGCGGCGGCGGAGGGCCCGGCGGAGGTCCCGGAGGCGGCGGCGGGGGAGGCTTGTACGGGGAGCTGCCCGAAGGCACCTCCATCACGGTGGACTCCAAGCGCTTCTTCTTCGACGTGGGCTGCAACAAGTACGGCGTCTTCCTGCGCGTCAGCGAGGTGAAGCCTTCCTACCGCAACGCCATCACGGTGCCCTACAAAGCCTGGGCCAAGTTCGGCGGCGCCTTCTGCCGCTACGCCGACGAGATGCGCGACATCCAGGAGCGGCAGCGGGACAAGCTCTACGACCGGCGCGCGGGGCCGGCCGGGCCGGGCAGCGGCAGCGGCGCAGGGGACGACTCCGACGGGGATGATGTGGACGACGACTGAGCCTCTCCTCCTTCCTCTCTTCCTCTTCCTCCTCCTCCTCCTCCTCTCTAAACGATAACAACACCCACCCACCCACCCACCCAATTTCCCTCCCCAGCAGCCGCCGAGGGGTGGGGGTGGTTTCCCATGGGGAGAAGGAGCGGATGGAAATGGGGCGCAACCCGATCCTACTCTTTCCTTCTCCCCGAGGGGGGAGAGAGAGGGGGGGGAAAGCCCTGCCTGCCCGGCCTCCACCCACCCACCCACCCACCGCTTTCTGGAGCAGCCCCCCTCCCGAATTGGCCTCCTTTTCCCAGGGCTCCCCCTCCCTCCAGGATGCAGCATCTGTCCCTGAGTTGCCCCGGCTTTAATCTCTCCCCCCCTCCCAACCCAGAGAGAGAGAGAGAGAGAGAGGGGTGGGGGGGAATCCCCACGACCTCAGTTAACCTCCCTCCTGGCCTGCAGAGTGGCGAAAAGGAGGTTCCTTTCCACCCCTGAAAACTGGGATCCGCTCCACCAAGGGATCTGCTCTGGCTTCCCAAGGCTTCTCATCTGCCCCAACAGCTGAAATGTGTGGCGTCGTCTTCTTTTTCCCCCCCACTTCCCTCCCCCTCACCCACCCATCCTTCCCCCTCCTTCCCTCCCTCCCTTCCTTTCATTTCTTTCTTTCTTAATTTATTGGAGGGGGTTGAAATGGGGAGAGAATTTCATCTGATCTCCTTCTCCCTTTCTCCTCGGGTGCCCTCCCCTCTCCTGCATTTTGAGATCTCGTGTTCCTCTTCCTCCTCCTCCTCCTCTTCCTCCTCCGCTCTCGAAACCAGCATTCTGGAGACTGCATGGCCACCGAGCACAGTTTGGAAAAAGGAAGACGATGAAGCTGGCACAGCTATCCAAATCCAGCAGCCTAACCGGGCAAGTTGTTTTTTTTAAAAACAAAACACAAAAAAAAACCAAGGATGGTGATCGTAGCCCAAATGTGAAAGGGGAAAGTTGAAATGGGCCTGGGGGGAGGGGGAGAGGCAGGAAAGATGGGAGAAGCAACCCTGAGAATGATGGGTTGGAGAGAGGACGGAGCCTATATCTGGACCGACGTCCACTGTTCTTCTCCTTCTCCTACATTTTTATCCGTAAAGCTACAGGTGCCTGAACTGGAACGGATACGAAATTATTCTAAAGTTGGCAGGTTCTAAAGATCGTAATGAGGTTTTTTCCCCCCACCTACCCATCCTCAGGGGGTGGGTTTGGGGATATGCAAACAGGCAGGTTCAAAAGAGAAAGAAAGAAAGAAAAAAAAAAGGCATAAAGCACAAGGAATGCAGAGTGGACTAGTTGCTGGTCACTAAAGTTCTTCCCCTTCTCTCTAAATAAGGTGAAAGAGCAAAATGGCTTTAGGCTTTAGTAGGAAGTAAAAATTGGAGCTGCCTTTCTCTGGGCTTTAAAAGAAAAAAAAAAACAAGATGATCTAAGGTGGAGTCTGTTCGGCAACTCGCGGGGTTTGAAACACACACACACACACAAAAAAAGCATTAAAATCGTAATCTGGTAAAAGGAAAAAAAAACGTGAGGCTTCAAGTCTAAAACAAAAAAAAAAGAATAAATGAGAGGGACACTGAAAGCTGCTTTCGCCATGCAAATAAGCGGACATGCTCTTTGAAAATAGACACCAAGAACCTCAGGTCCAGAAGTCCAGCATCTGTTGTTGTTTTAACAAGATTTTTTTTAACAACCAGAAGAGAACACAATCCATTTCCTCAGTACCTCACGTTATGTTAACACCAATGGATTGTTCAGAGCACCATCTGCCCTATGGGAGGTTCTTCATCATCATCCATCACACACACACACACACACACACACACACACACACAAAAGGAGCAGAATCAAGCCAAGTTCTGTGACTATGAACACGAGCAGCATTTTACCACCTTCAAATTTTACTATATAGACTGGCTACTGCCTATTTGTCCAGTTGTCTTTCCCAAGCAGAGTTGTGTCTCCCCACCCAAAGAATTGCTCATCTATATTTTAAATGGATTCTTACCTAAAATGATATTTTTTTAAACAAATGAAGTCAGTCCTATTCCCTCTAAAAAGTGTTTTTAGCTGCAACGTTATATACTAGCAACTTTGAATTGAATGGAAATTGCATACTGTTCATTACAAAGTTTCGGGTATTGTTTGTGTGACATCTTAAAAGAGTGCATGCCTGTCGTTTATTTGAGCTGCCTTTTTAATTTATTGCATACCCTTATTTACCTTATTTTGGTATTGCTCTTCTCTATACTGTCTTTGTTTTGTATTTATTAGAAAGCAAAGAGGCATATAAAAGTCATTTTCCTCACTCAGTTGTTGCTGTGGTAGGGAAATTGGCTGGAATTTTTCTAAAAAACAAAAAATTGGGTTTTGCTACAGTTATAAAGCTCAGCAAATGTCAGATTAGTTCATCATAAACATGATTGTTTATTTTAAAAGCTGTTTCTTTATTCCATGTGTTCATGGTAGATCTTATATCCTTGGGGGAAAAAGAAACACCCTTTCCATTTTTCTCCGTTGCAAAGAACTTGTTTCCTGAATTGTAATGGGAGCAATAGTATTTCTTGATGTTTTAATTACATCCATATACTTGTACTGTATTTTGTACTCTCCGAGGCAGCTGTTTTCAATAATGTCCTGCTGTATTTACCTATGTATTTTTGTTTTGTTTTGTTCTATTGTATTCAGTTCTTTGCTGCGGAGAACAATATTCACCCCCACCCTAAAATTGTCAGCGTACAAGGATCGCAGCCTGGCCAGGACTGCAGAGAACTCTGCTTTTAACTAATGAGACTTTAAAAGGCAGCAATGAAAATGGAGGCCGCGGATGCTTAATATCTATTGCTGTAACTCTTCATTCAATTTAAAACAGTGTATAATACTTGTATAGACCAACATTTTTGTTGCGTTAGTGGTAATCCGTTTCCCACCCTTCTTTTTTGGTTTGGTTTTGTTTCGTTGCTCAGCTACCATGAGCCAGTTTTTGCAAAGATGCAGTACCTCTTCTTTTCAAGGAGAACCTTTGGGGGACATGGGGTGGGTGGGGGTGGGAGGGGGTTGGGCTGAATTGTTGTAGTAACTAGCCTTACCTTTCTACTACATGGTAGTGTAGTGGCAGGATTTTGACTGGTCCCTGGCCAGTGGCTATGGAAGCTATAATTAGCTGCCCAAAAAGTATGTGGAAGCAGACAGAAGCATATCAGTTGTTTCGCAAGGAGCATTGCCATTTATGGTGTTGCCTTTGGCAACCAGGGAGAGGCTTCTGTGGTCACTGCAGACCAGCTAAACCGATACTGAGTCTCTACCAAGGGATCCGTGACCCTTCAAGGTGTGGAGTTAGGGGTGACAGTGCAAGATGTCAGTAGGGACACTGAGGTGTTGGGCCTGCTTGTGCTCGTGTATAACTTACAGGCGTTTTTCACTATCCCCACAGATACTGAGGCTATCGTGCTATGTTAGGTTAATGCCCAAGATTCATTCTAGGGAGAAAATCAATTCTGGTGCCACAAGCCTTGCTTAGATGCAGCGTAGGGGAAGCCATTCCTTCTGCTTGTTGGAGAACAGGGAAAGAGTTGCCTGAAATCTATATATCTATATGTATATATATATATCTTACCTTTCCCCTTGTAGAGCTTAAAATGTCTGGGCTTAAACCCCAGTGGATGCTGCAGATACTTCTCAGATGAATTTGGGAGCATGACTTGTTCGTGCTGGAGAGGGCGCCTCCATTGCTTACAGCTAAGCGTTAATGAAATCTCTGCCTTCCCAGCCGCAACAGATCATATCTGAACGTATGCATCCCTGCTCTCTACGTCTGGTAGTTCGCCTCAGCGACCGGTTTCTTGCAGATTGCAGGCGGGCAGCTTGGCGTCCCGTTACGGATAAGCTTTACGGTTCACGCGAGGCTGTGTTCGACCACGTTGGGGGGGTGGGGAAACCCCCCATTACCCTGGAGAGTCAGTCCCAACGCGCGTGAACTTTTAGTATCCCTGTTATACTCCTGTGCTTCAATGTCCATTTGAGTAACGAAAAAGCTTCTCTTATTCTCGGTGCTGCTGCAGTTTTAACTCATAGCCTTGGTCTCTTTTCTGCAGCGATGTTTGTGGACTGTGTGATGGTGCATTTGACAAGCTTGCCACATCCCGCACAACCTCACGGTGGAAAAAACAAGCTCGGTCCCAGCGAACTTTGGGAAACGTGAGGTGTGTTGATATGAGGCGACTTGTGGGACTGCACTGTCATCTTTTTACGTGTAGATTTTGTAGAGGGGGTGGTGGAATTGGGTAGCCTCTGTATCTGGCATTTCTTAGGCGTTGCCCTTAGAGTGGTGCATCTGCTGTACAAACAAAATGTAAATCTTGTATAGCACCCCAAAAAAAAAAATTGTAAATAGGCGAGACATACAGGTATAAATGCCCGTAGCTTTAGCTCACATCTAGTTATGGGCCACGTCCTATTTCCCTAGCTATCTGCTTCAGAGTGATTACAGGCCCTAACGGAGGAGGCTGAGTCTTCTGTTCTCGTTCTGTTGTTTTTTTCCCTCAAAGAGAAAAGCAATTCCCGTTATTTACCCTGGAATCCTCTTTGCACAAAAATCACAGATTTATTTTTTTTAAGTAAAGATTTTAGCTTCTGCTTTAATGTCTCTAAAACTACGACGTTTAAACGATCCTGTCCTTGTACTTTTCAGGATAATGGGCGCAAGAGGCAGGTTTCAATAAACCCCTCATATTGAGTGGTCCCTTTGTTTGACGGCACACTTCAGGTATTGGAATAGCTGAAGGTGGTTTTTGATTTACTCCCGTCATTTAAAAAAATAAAATAAAAATAAAAGTGTAATATATTTGACTATACAAGACAACTGAAAAGTGACTTAACTCAGGCTACTTTTCTTGTGTAAGGGTGGCAGTTTTGTGATTTTGGTAGAAAATGGTTCATTGCATCAACGTGCTTGGACATCTCAAAAGTTTTAATAGAAAGATGATGGTACTTGATCTGATGCACAATTTAATCTCTCAGCAGATATTCGCTTTTTTTTTGTTTCTTTTTAAAACACAAAAACAAAATGTGGCCTTGATTCTTGAAAGGAGGAAAGAGAAACTTGCTTTCCATATATGTAAGTGGCACTTTTTTTAGGCTTCAAATTCTGCAAATTCTTTGTAGACATGATATTGATAGGCTTCTTCCTTTTATAAGCAAGTGAAATGGTCAATGTATGGAAATGGGTTTGCTATGAATTTACTTCTATAAAGGAACAGGAACGCCTGAGGCTAAATATCTAAAACCTAAAGGATCAATATGCTCTCTTTAAATAGCAGTAATCACAATTATTTCTGAAGAAAGGCAGTGTAGAATATTTTAGTTTCACCGAGCACAATCCTGCTGGCGTAGCAGCTACAATACAGACTCAATGGGTTTATGTCAGATGCCTTGTAATTTTTGTAGCATATCTGGAGATGATTTTGATAGGAATGCTTCCAGCTATCTCGTGCCCTTCTCAAAAATTAAAAAAAAACAACAACCAAAATGGTAGAAGGCAGAGCAATCAGGTTTGCTGTGCAGTGATAACCCTGCGCATGGATGTTCCCAAGTCAGTACAAAATGCCAAGCAGTGACAGGTATATTTCTGGATTCTTTGTTCACTCCAATGAACAACCCATGGTGTAAAAGCATCGTTTTCGTGCTCGCTTGTTCCCTTGGCCTGAAATATAATCTCTGGGAGTCTGACTCCAGGTGTGCGAGAGGTTTTCTGAAGTCTTGTCCTCCTTGTTCGGTATTGGTGCTTTTGTGATAGTTTAGTGTCAGCAAAAATTGCGGTAGTTAGATGTTGTGCTTGAGCATTCACTGAATCGTTTTTGATTGAGGAAATTTTTCTTCTTCAATTTGCATAGA